AGTCATTTAGCTCTAAAGCAATTGTGCAATAAGCAAAATATAAAAGGAAAATAACAAAGGTTAACTTCGTACAGGGACCAACAGGCAAGATCTTTGCAACACAGCAATGAACCTTCACATACTGGAGTCTTATTTAAAAGGCCATCAAAAGCTCAGATTACTGAAAATCACAAATGTCACCAACAAAAGGAATGTTGATTAGACAGAGTCAAAAAACTTCCCAGAGGCCTGCCTTCTCTGAAGGAATTTCAGAAGGTTGCTAGCACAGGTTGGTTAAGTTAAATCTCATTGATGGCTCTATTCGAGAATGAGAATGCCCCAGTTAGTGCTGTTTTAAAAAGGTAAAACAACTGGGGGAGAAAGAGGAAAAAAACACAACAATCTACTCTTCCCTAAGATATGTGGCTTAGCATCCAGAGAAAGCCTCTGCTCCCAAAAGAGACTTTCTACATAGGGTTAAGCTTTATTAAATGAGGTGTAACCTTTCATTTTCAGTATATGTCTTTTCTTGCAAGGTCCTTAGAGGCAGAAGTGACACTTGGATTCTAATACACATACATCTCTGTGAGCTCAGCTTTCTTAAAACATACACCTGCCAAGTTCTAGGTTCTCCCTTGCCAGTGACCAGATTCACTACTTCACAGCCACCAGCATCACTCGTACACTATTAACATGAGGAAAAACACAGCCACTGCTATAAGTTTGGCATAAGTGGACCATGTGTTCAAGTAGTTCACATCCTGGCACTATTTCTTGGACAGGTTGGACAAATTGTTAACTTTTGACTCCAATGCCAAGAGTACTCCTTGTAACACTTCTTCAATATTGGCCACCGTGAGCCTCTGCGTATCTTGGAATGCTGTGTTGAAGAAGCCTAAGTTTCTCGGAGTACAGCTGTCAATGTAAAGCTTCTTGGTTTTCTGAGTGTAGGTCTCAAACACAATAAAGCAATAGGGTCTAGACACAGTAGACAACATCTTCCCATAGTGTTCATCAAACTCTGAGTGTAAATTTTGTAGGGAGGCAAAACCAACTTCTTAGGAAAGGTAGCTTCACACAAATGACACACCTCTTGTTCAATAATGTAGTGAAAAGTCATGGTGCTGGCTTCCAAGGTACGTTTGGTAGGGGACTGTTCATTCAACTTTCTAAAGGACTGCTTAGCCTGACTGGTATTTTCGAAGGTCCTGAACAAACTGTCTTCCGGTATTCCAGTGGCCAGCGGGAGCCTGTCTACCACTTGGGTGATCTTTGTGAGTGACAACACCTTTACAAGTTACAGGCTAATTAAAAAATTTTGTAACCAAAGTAATTTTTCTTATAAAACATCCAAACAGTGTGTAAATATACTGCAAAATGTGTGAAACCTGTTCCCCTCTACTCTTCTCCTGTCCCCAAAGAAAGACAACCACTGTCAGCTGTTTCCTATGTATCCTTTTAGTTCCTTTTCTAAATATTCTACACACATTTGGAGAGATGTTAAAATGTAAAGGGGCTCATCATATTCATTATTCTTGCTTTTAAAAAAACTATTTATTTTTAGAGAGAGGGGAAGGGAGGGAGAAAGAGAGGGAGAGAAACATGGATCAGTTGCCTCTTGCGTACCCCAAGCTGGGCCAGCAACCTGGCCAGCAACCTAGGCCTGTGCCCTGAACGGGAATTGAACCAGCGACCTTTTCATTTGCAGGACGATGCCCAATCCACTGAGCTACACCAGTCATGGCTATTCTTGCTTACAAAAAAAAAAAAAAAAAAAAAAAAAATTACTGACTTGAGATAAAGATACATCGATTTGTTGTTCTACTTATTTATACATTCATTGCCATGGCTGGGGGTCAAACCTGCAACCCTGGCTTGTTGGACAACACTTCAACCAGCCGAGCTACCCAGCCAGAGTTATTCTTGTGTTTTTAAACATGAGAATGTATACATTTGTCTTAGAGATTTCCTGTACTAGTATAGTTAGGCCTTTGTGTTTAACAGTTTTTAGCATTGCATGCTATACATGTATTTATTCAAAATAAAACATTTGTCTGGAATCTGTTATATGGAGAGTATTGTTCAGCTAGTATGTGGGGTTCTCCAGACACGGTCATACCCTTGTCCTCATCATCAGGGAGCTGGTTCTTTAGAGGACATTGGGAGGAAGGAGGGGGGCATATGTAACCACAACACAAGGGAAAATAACGTCCCTGAGTGTACGTCTGGAGTTCAGAAATAAGCAAAATCACTTTTAGCTCAGAGAACCAGTGATGTTGGAGCTTGGCCTGGAGTGAGCTTGACAGGGAAGGAAGAGCATGGGCCTGGGCACAGGGATGAAAACACATGATACAGGTTCATTTGATGTCAGACCCCAGTCCATGAGCAGGAAGGAGATTTGGTTCAATTTGTAAACATTTGTCAAGCTTCTATGCGTCGGATACCATAGTAGGCACTAAGAATATAGAAATGAGAAAGATGAGGGTCTTGTCTTTAAAAGGCTTTCAGTTGGAATAAAAGCCAAATTTGGAAAGGCAGGTTAGGACCAGATGATGAAAGCTTTCAACTGGCATGTCAGGGAGTCTGAATTTTATTTATTGGGCAATGTGGAGCCAGGGCATGCTTTCAGGGGGCAGGTAACATGCCTGAAGTTGAGCAGATGTGGCAGTGCACAGAATGGGCTAAAATGGGGAGAAACTAAGGGTAAGGAGTTTGTTACCTTTCTTTCTATAACAAGATAGAAGTTAATTTCTACCTCAGTTAAAAACTGTCTGGTGGTAGGCAATCCAGGACTTGTATGATGGCTCTACAGTTACCAGGGACTTAGGCTTTTATCTTTTCGCTTCACCATTCTGGCACATAGTTTCTATCTTTATTAAACCATAGTTGCCCCATGGTCAAATATGGCTGCTAGATCATAATTAGTCTCATCTACATCCCAGGTGGTAGTAGAAAGAAGGAAGGGAAGGAGGTAGGAGGAAGGGGAAGGAGCACATAATGACATGCTTTTCTAGCTAAATTAACTTCCTTTAAGGAGCCTTTCCAGAGGTCCAGGACAATACTTCCAACACTTCTGTTTATGTTTTATTGGCTGGAAATTAGTTACATGGCCTTACCCAGCTTTTTAAAAATTGATTTTAGAGACAGAGAGAGTGAGAGGGAAACATCAGTTTGTTGTTCCACTTATTTGTGCATTCATTGGTTGATTCTTGCATGTGTCCTGACCAGGGATTGAGCCTGCAACCCTGGTGTATTGGGACAATGCTGTAACCAACTGAGCTACCTGGCCAGGGCCTTATCCAGCTTTAAGGGAGACTTGGAAGTGTAGTATTGTTTGCATTTATTTTTTAAAGCTTTTCCCTTTTTAAACAAGTTGAGGTATAATCTGCATGCAGTGCAATCCACAGATCTTAAGCATACAGCTTCATAAGTTCTGACAAGTACATATACCCAGATAACCCACACCCCTTTCAAAATGTCATCCCATTACTTCCAGAAATTCCCTCCTGCCTAGGGAGCTTTATTTATTTATTCATTTATTTTTTAAAAAAACAACCTAAAAGTGATAATGAGGGTGGCAGCCATAGGAATGGAAAGAAAGGCCATGGAGAATCCAAAGGAGTCTGGATGTGGAAAATGAGAGAAAAACCAAAAAGAATGCTGACAGTAGAGGCTCTACCAGAATCAGAAAGTTGGGAAGGAAGTCTAGACTTTTGCAGGATATGGAAGGAGGAAGAGGAATGAGTACAGTGTTGGGTATGTTCACTTGATGTGCTAGTCAAACAATCTAGGTGGAGACACTCAGTAGGCAGTTGTATCTACAGCTTGGGAGGGCATTCAGAGCTCAGTGGCATCAAGTACTACAGAGGTACCAAAGAGGTCAAGGAACTAAGGGATGACCCAGGAATTCGGTGACAATGAGCTCACTAGTGATTTTTGAGGGTTTTTTAAAAAAAGATTTTATTTATTAATTTTTAGAGAGAGGGGAAGGAAGGGAGAAGGGAGAGGGAGAAAAACATCTAAGTGAGAGAAACATTGATCAGCTACTTCTTGCATGCACCTCAACCTGGGACCAGGCCTGCAACTCAGGCATGTCCCCTGACCAAGAATTGAACCAGCGACCTTTCACTTTGCTGGACAATGCTCAACCAACTGAGCCACACCGGTCAGTGCTGGTAACTTTTGAGAGAGCAGAATCCAGATGCCAAATCCTGAGTGGGAAGTGAGGGTTTAAGTCATGTAGAGTCACCTGAAATAATTTTAAAACCTTTTAAAAAACTGAAATCCTTGCACAAACATAAAAGGGTAATAGGTAGAGGCCCTTTTGAGAAGTATTTTGATTAAAGGAGAAAGGGAATGGTAGTGTCAGGAAAAGATCAGGGCTCACCTCATCCTTACAAGGAAATAGTCCCCTTGCTCTTTTCACTTTGCTTTTTAAAGGACAGGAGGATAGGATAGTTCCCTGTCTCATCTTGGAATATGCGACTTCCAAAAATTCAAGCTGGAAAGGTGAAGGTAGGAGAGGGATGCTGCCTTTGACAACTGCTGGGGTGGGGTGAGCCCGCCAGACAGCTAGGATAGGTGTGAGGAGATGCAGCGCTTCGAGGCAAGATCACAGAGCAGACAAGCTGGACTCGAGCAGTCTTGGGTTTGAATCCTGTCTCTGTCACCACCTTGGTAACGACCTTGGGCAAGTCACTTAACCTGAGCACCTAGTTTCTCATCTGTAGAATGGAAATGATTATGCCTACCTTTCAGGGTGGTTTTGAGATTACAGAAAAGCGCTTGCCACAGAGTAAGTAGGTAATCATAAAGGAGTGCTATTATGTGACCCAGCCCCTCGTTGTGGGACAAAACGGCTAAGGGATGGACGGACCAGTCAGAACCCGAGACCTACCAATCTTAGAGGGTAGGGCGGGCTCCCTGTGGCCTCCTCCCTCCAGGAGGTGGGGACAAGGTGGAGCAAGGGCTGTAGGAGGAGGAGCCGGTGCGCTGCGACCCGCCCCGTCCAGTCCAGTCTGGCCTGGGCGCTGTTCTAGCCACCGCCACCCTAGCAGCCTGTTCTGGTGCCCTGCGCACTACCCCGTGTCCAGTTATGATCCTGCGCCCGTCACTGCTCCGGCTCTGTCTGCTGCTACTCAGTGCGGCAGTATGTCGAGCTGATAAGGGGTTCGAAACCGAAAGTTCTGTCCGGACCCTCCAAGTGGAGACCCTGGTGAGGAGATGGTCCCGGTCCGCGGGGGGAGGGCCTTGTACGGGAATACAGGTCTAAAAGAACCTGCGAGCCCAGAGAAGTGGGGGGACTGAGCTGGGAGGTGCTGGGTCGAGGGACAAGAACGGAATCGTTGGCGGATCCTCCGTGACTCCTGTAGTCCGATCGTAGGTGGAGCCCCCGGAACCGTGCGCGGAGCCCGCTGCCTTTGGAGACACGCTGCATATACACTACACGGTGAGGGATCTAGGGGACCAAGGCGGAGCCTGGGAGGGGGCGGCGCCCCGATAAAACACGTCAGCTTTGGCTTGGACACGTGGCAAGCTGTTCGGGGGAGTAACTAGGCTCTGGGGTCTTCGAGCACGTGGCGCGGGGAGGGACGTTCCTTCTGTCTGCCCATTCCCCTTCCCTGCTCCGCCAGTTCCTCCCGGGCACTGAGAATTGAGAGATCACCGAGAAGTGCCAGACCTTTGGGGCTTCCTGTTCCTTTCTGCCCCGAGGGGAGTGCTAGGCGACAGAGGCTAAGGGGTTGCCCTGCCAGCGGCTCAGGTGGCTATTGCGCCTGCTGGGAGGGCGAGGTACTAGGTGTGCAGCCTGGATGCTCTCTCCTCCCAGGGCAGCTTGGTAGACGGACGAGTTATTGACACTTCCCTGACCAGAGACCCTCTTGTTATAGAACTTGGCCAAAAGCAGGTGATTCCAGGTATGTGACCTGTGCCTCCCACTCCTTTTCCCAAGAGAAGTATTTTCTTAACCTCTTTAACCCCTAAACTACCTTAGAAATCCCCCCTGGAATTAGTATGATGCCCATCTCTACCAGCCACCTCCTGAGATTCAACCTCCACTTCTTATTTTTTAAGATTTTATTTATTTTTTGAGGGAGGGGAAGGGAGGGGGAGAGAGGGAAAGAAACAATGATGTGAGAGAGAAATATGAATCAGTTGCCTCTCATACAAGCCCCAGTCTGGACGGAATCTGCAACCCAGGCATGTGCCCCTACCAGGAATCGAACAGCAACCTTTCACTTTGCGGGATGACACCCAACCAATCAAGTCACACGGATCAGGGCACAAAGCTCACTTCTAATACTCCTCTTGCCACATACCCTACTGGAAGCCAGAGATTTGAGAAGTGAGGAGCTCAACTAAGGGTCAAAGGGGAGCCTTTAATCTCCTCTCCTGGGATTTGGGAAATCTAGGTAGCTTTCTGTTCAATTGTGTCTTCTTCCTCAAGGTCTGGAGCAGAGCCTTCTAGACATGTGTGTGGGGTGAGTATCTGGGCAGAGATGGACTTGGGTACTCCCTTTGCATGGGTAGGGTCTTTCTCTCCTGTCCTTGCTCCTAGAGAAGGCAGGAGAACATGGGATAAAGGGCCTTGACCTTGCATTGGTCATTGGGACCCCCGAGGATGTCCAAAGCCTCTTTGCCTCTCTGGCTGTGGGTGTTGTTGGCAGAGATGAGGCATGGGGTGGGGGTGGGGGGTGGACACCTTTGCTGGCCAACCTGTTTGATGCTCGGTGGGAAAATTCATCTTTTGGGTATGAATACCCAGAGGGTTTTGCTGGTGGGGCCTCAGATGGATGAGGCTGCCAGCCCGCCTGGTCCCACCTCTGGCTGTGACTTACATTCTTTCCCTTAGAGAGAAACGAAGGGCAATCATTCCTTCTCACTTGGCCTATGGAAAACGGGGATTTCCACCATCCATTCCAGGTAACCTGACTAGACCATCTCTCTCAGACCATCAAAATACCTAGTCCCTAAGAGCTACGCAGTTGGTCTGGAGCTTGAGAAGGCCTAAACTCAGTTTGCTACAAGGGACAGGAGTGGCTGGGGCCTCCTTCTGCATGGCCACTTTTTCCTGCTTAGGTCATTGTAGGGACTAGAGAACCTATTAAGGTCACCTGGTGTGCCGTCTGGCAGCCAGAAGCTTTTTTAGGGAAGAGACACCTAATTGTGCCACATGGATCTGCTGCATATGCCACCCTTCCCAGAACTGTGGAATTCTTTCCTGCCTTTTTCCTATAATTCCCCACTATGTCATTTGTGCAGTTGGCATGGCTTCTTACTACATCTCCTTCCTTCCTTTAAGCCTTCACCAGGAAGAGATAGTAAAAATGATTACAGTTAAGAAATTCAAAACAAAATTAAACAAGGAACAACTTTTAATTTTTTGGCCTACCCCATAACTTTAAAAGCCCTCACAGGTCACTGCTGATATCTCTTCTTTTAGGCCTGAGATTGGACAGACTTCCCAAGATGTGTATCTCTCGCTTTTGGTCCTGTTAGTTAAAAAGTGTTGTACTTTAGAGGACTGGGGTAAAAGTTCCTACCCCAGTTCCAGCTTAGTGGGAGACCTGGAGAGAGGAGAGCGGGACTAAAGAGAAACAAACTCTTACCCAAAGCTTTATTACCTCTGCTTTCTGGTGCTGCTTCTATCTGCATTTCCCTCCCCACCCCTTACTCATTCCCCAACCCCTTGTTTCTTAAGACACATCCTTCTTCCTCTCCATCTCTTATGTTAAAATACCTCTCTTTTCTAACAATCACATTGAATATGACCATTGGTTGGTGGAATTTTTAAAAGTCTAGTTTAAATCCAATTAATTTCAGCCCTGCAAAGATTGTATCCATATGGCTGTTTGGAAGTGGAGTACAGTTAGTATCAAGGTTTCTCTCACTTATAAATGGAGAACAGGATGTACATTTCAGATCTACAGAAAGTTTTCCTGTGCTGTCAAAGACTTGCCATGGGAACCAGGCCACACTTGTATATTTGGGGTAAACATGACTATCACTAGACTCTGCTCATAACCCATCTCTGGAACTCAGCCCCACATTGAAATCTTACCAGCTTCATAGCTGTTGCTCTGGTGTGGCCTGCCTTCCCTGTGTTTTTTTGAGATTTAAAGTCCTGGATAAACTGCACACAGATTCTAACCCACACTTCCTCTCTGCCTCTAGCGGATGCAGTGCTGCAGTTTGATGTGGAGCTGATTGCACTGGTCCGAGCCAATTACTGGCAAAAGCTGGTGAAGGGCATTTTGCCTCTGATAGGCATGGCCATGGTGCCAGCTCTCCTGAGCCTCATTGGGTATCACCTATACAAAAAGGCCAACAGACCTAAAGTCTCCAAAAAGAAGCTCAAGGAAGAGAAACGAAACAAGAGCAAAAAGAAATAATAAATACTAATTTTAGAAACTCCTTTGCATTCTTCACCTGATGCTTTCTAAGGTTATTTTTATAAGTGGGAATGAGGTGAAGGGGCTGGGGAAAAGGCATTCTGAACTGGACTACCTCAGGGACTGTTCCTGAATCTTCCCGTAGGATCTCTAGGTCCCGAAGGTAGGGGTTTTGGCTCCCATGGTGCCCTGACTCCAGAAGCAATGCTTCATTGAGAAGTAAGTCTCCTGGTAGTTGCCTGGCTATTCTCTCCACTCCCTGGGGCTGTTATAGTCCCAGTGTCCGCAAAGTAGACTGCTCTGTCCAATATGGCAGATATAAGGAGCTCATGGACTCTTTGGGAATTTTTTTTAATCCTCACCTGAGGTTTTTTTCGTTGCTTTTAGAGAGGGTTGGGGTGTGGAACAAGACATCAATGTGGATGCCTTTCACATATGCCCTGACCAGGAATCGAATCTGCAGCTTGGGTTATGTGCCCTGACTGGGAATCGAATCCATGACCCTTCAGTCCATACCAACTGAGCCATACCAGCCAGGACTATGGGAATTTTTAATAGCAAAGTTCTTAGGTATCTCAAAAAATTCTCTGGAGATTGAAAAGAAATTTTCTCCTTGTATCACAGGATGTGGGAGATCACATGGGCTGCTTCAATGACGTTGTAAGTGGTTGGAGACTTTTTGTCGCCTGGCTGGGTTGTAGGTGTGGACAACGGCTGGGGTAAATTGCTTCGGTGGTTGATAATGAAGAGTGGGTTGAGCTGGCTCAGCACTTCATCACTCACTGAGATGCCGTCCAAGTACTGCTTGAGCATCTCCCGCAGCTTCCTGTTGATATCTAACAATTGGGTATGTCTGTGTTGGAGGCTCAGTTGCTCCAGTTTCACTTTGTTGTATCTTTTCCAGAAATTGTCCATCCCTCTGTAGTCTGCTATCACCTGGGAATTGATTTAAAGGGAGACGGTGTATGGTGGGGCCCATTGGTGAATACAGCCCAGGGCCCTGTCATCCCCAACCTTGAGCCAAGGCCTCTGGGCCCGAGGAACTTTACCTTTGCCAGCTCCTCTGTAACCCTCTCTGAGCTCATTTCCTCTGTCTCCTTCTGCTCCTCAGGAGTCAGTGTTGAGGAATAAAAGGGCAGCACTTTTTCTTCTTCTGTTTCAAATTTCCGACATATTTCAGCAAGTTTAAGAATCTTTTCACCCTATTGAGAGCAGGAAGACATTTTATTAGGAAAGAGATGGGAGGGGGAATAGTGGAGTCTGTTCCCTGCTTGAACTAGGGAAGCTGCTCCTCCAAATGGGAGACAAGAGTGCCTACTATGTGCCAAGCGCTGTTCCAAGTATTTTATATTCTTTTTTTCAAGTATTTAATATTCTTATAAAGTTCATTATTAATTAATTAATGTGACAGGGGAGAGAACATGAAAATTAAAAAGATACTCCAAGTGCCCAGCCAGGCAGGAAGCAGGAGGAAGTTTCCCCGACCACCGCTCAAACCCCTCTCACTTCGCAGGGAGCTGGATTCCTTGCTTTTGTTTGGACCACCTTCTCCCCCTTGTTACCTTATCAACAGTCTTCTTCAGGGCTTTGAGGGTGGCATTACTCTCCACAGTGAGATTGACTAAGTTCTCCTGTGCTATTCCCCGTGCCTGAGTCCTTTGGGCCTTAAGTTTTCGTAGTTGTACAAGGACCAACTCCTTGTCCTCACGAATGCACTGGTTCTGTTCTTCACTTTCACGGCTGTGCGCCATGATCTTGCCTTTTAAAATAATTACAGAATCCTAGAAGAACAGAGTAGATTAGAGGAAATGCTTGACTAGCAGAAGGTCTTCAGTGAGACAGATAAAAAAACTGTCTAGGGACTGAAATCAAAGCATATCATTTTCCCCCAACCAGTGATGAGCCCCAGGGGAAACTGGGGGAAGGGGAATGGGATGATGGAGCAGTTAAAGCAGTGGGCGTTTCTGGTTGGCTGCACTAACCTGTAGTCTCTGTATTTTTTTCATCTGTGCTTCAATCTCTTTGGAACTCTTCTCATCCTTTACCTTCAGGGTCTCGAAGGCAATCTTTTGATCCTCTGTGGCATCAGTGTAATTCTTGAGTGCATCCTGGAACCTCCTCCATAGATCTTCTACTACATTCTCCAGGTGCAGTCTTAGAAAGTGCTTCTCTTCTAAATTCTAGGAAATGGCCCCAAAATAGGCAATGCTTAGAACAACCCTATTAGTGCCATTTCACTTCCACAAGCAACCTCACACTCTTGCACTGTTTATGGCGTAGTATGGTGTAGGGGTCACCAATGAAAATACCTACAAAGACCAGGCAGGTGATATAAATAAGTGCTGTGGGCTAGATGGGGTCTGTGATGAACCAGAGAGGAAACGCCCTTTGATGGGGACACGGCGGGGGCTTGGGGGAGGCACAGCTGCTCAGCTCCACATGAATGTCTCCATTTGGAAATATTGGCCCAGTGTTACCAGATCTTTACATTTTTTCAAGGAAAACTGAAAGCTGTAAATTTGGATTTTAAATGTAGGAACCCTATTAAGATTTGTTACAAAACACAACAGGGCCCCATACCCAGACCCAGGTCTGAGGCTACCTAAAGTTTGCAACCGCTAGGATGGTGGAAAGCACTTTGGGCCAAGGGGCCAGAGACTGAATTCCCTTCCTGGCTCTGCCACAAACCAGCGGCATGACTTTGGCAGGTCATTTTACTTTTGAGGGCCTTAGTTTCTTCATCTACAAATTATAGGGGTGAAGGCAGATGATCTCCTTGTTGCTTTTTCACTCTAAAATGCATTGCCTTGATATTTCAGAATGATCCTCCCTCCTGACCAATTTTCACAAAAGTACAAAAGGCAGTAGTGGTACCTACAATGGCAATAGGCATTTTATTGATTATGTTGGTTAAAGGGACCTCTTCTAGCTCTCCCAGCCTTGAGCATTTTTTTCTCACTTCTCTTCCAGTTCTTGCCCATTACTTTCCCTCTGTACCTTGTTTTTGAGATCATCCCACATGCTCTGGAACTCCAGCTTGCTCTCATACTCAGACTCTATATAGCTCTGCTCCATGGCCATGAAGACGTCCTGTAGGTAGTGAATCTCTTTTTCATGTTGGTCAATAATTGTCTTCCTATGGGAGATAAGACACTGTCCCTGCTCTGAACTCAAAGCAATATGTAGTAAAACTACATGAATGGCACAAACTCTTTGGTACTGAAGGAAAACAGAGGGAGGGAGGGAGGGCTTTATTCTTTTTGGGCCAAAAAGAATGAATAAGATTATTATATTTTGATTTTTTAATAGGTTAATATATTCATGTGATATGAAAATCAAAAAGTGCAAAAGGTTACACTGCCAAATGGGTAGGATTTTGATAGTTGCAAGTCGGGGGTGAGGACATTACAAATAGGAGCCTGGCATGGGCGAGGGAAGGCTAAGCCACAAGCTTAAAGCCAAGCTAGTCCAGAAGGAAGTCAGGATCTCTTCTGCTGGGGGTAATGTCAACCATGGAGGGACGCTCCAGGGCTCTGGCCGTCTGTTTACAGGCAGCTCCTTGACACAGGCTCTGTATAGTCCCCCAGGCTAAAAACCCCCTACCTTTCTGTCTCAAATTCCTTGGTTAGGGTCTCCAGTTCCATGTTATAATTTTCCTCTAAGAGGCTGAGCCGGCATCTCTGCAGGGCCAACAGCTGGTCAATGTTGTGCAAGTGGCTGCGCAGGGCATGGGCGTACTGCTCCTCGGCTTCTGACAGGTCCTTAGCTAAAGACTAGGTAAGAAGCAGAGAGTTACCATTTTGGCTAGATGGCTTCTGTGTGAGAAAATAAAAGGATGTATTCAGTGGGGTAACTGGATGGGATGAACGGCATTTTCCCCTAGTTCCTAATGCCAGCTCTTGGGCTCTAAGAGTGCTGGTTCTCCCACTCTTTAACGTAAAGTCAGAGTGACATCAGAGAATCCCATACAGCCAGCCAGTGTCCTAGGGACAACAAACATTTACAATGATGGGACTAAAATAAAAAGGAACGAGGGATTCTTGGAGAAATGACTGTTTTGAAATCTGAGGCAAAAATAAACAAGTTGAACCTAGGGTATCTTGTCAGGGAAGAGAAGGAATCAAGCATTTGTCCTGCCTTTCTTATATAAACTATACCTTTGGGTAAATGATGGGAAGTATCTTTTTATAGAAGTATTCAAGCTAATAAATTAAAAAGGAATGATACCATTAGAAAAAGAGAGATAATTAGCTCTAGCTGGTGTGGCTCAGTGGATTGAGCACCGGCCTGCAAACCAAAGGGTCGCTGGTTCAATTCCCAGTATAAGGCACATGCCTGAGTTGCAGGCCAGGTCCCCAGCAGGGGGCGTGTGAAATGCAACCACACATTGATGTTTCTCTCCCTCTCTTCCCCTCTCTAAAAATGAATAAACTTAAAAATCTTTTAAAAATTGTTTTAAAAATAAGAGAAAAAGACAGCTATTTAGACATTTATGTGCCTCATGATGAAAGAACACACCTCCAAGCTTCTAGATCCAGTTACCAAGATAGAGGAAGGACAAAGTGACATGTTAAACTAAAATAAAGAATACTATTCAGTTATAAAAAACAAAATGAGAAGCTCTTTATAGGCTAATGTTGAATAGGATATGTCCCCAGGACATATTATTAAGTGAGAAAGTCAAGGGGCAGAATAGTATGTAATACTACCATTTGTGTAAAAAAAGGTTTACTCCTGAAACTAAAATTATTGGGAGGAGCATTGGGTGGCTGGAAGGCACTGGTGGGAAGGAACTTTCCACTATATAACTTTTTATCTTTTGAATTTTGCACAATGGGGATTTATTACCCATTGTGCAAAAAGGTAAAATAAAATTAAATAAAACAAAAAAGCATTTACTCAGTTCCCTTATGATCCAGACACCTTAAGTCCACTCACTCTGAACTACCACAGTCTCTACACAGAGCCAGTTTTTACCTTATATGTTTACATGAAAAGGGATCTTATGCAATAGGTACTGATAATGGATGACTATTCACTCGTTCAACAAATGTTTACCAAACCTGCTATTATACCAGCACTGTGCTGAATGGTGAGGACTGAGATTAAAAGGCATGCTCACTGCCCTCAAGGGAGTTTGCAGTCTTGCAGTAGAGAAAACTTATATAAATAGAACATTACAGTTTAACACGGAAATTGCTGAGGTTAATGATTTGCCAGTAACAATGGGATATAAAGGACTGAGTGCCAACATCTAACTAAGAGCCCTAGGACAGGCTTCACAAAAAAGATGTCATTTGTTTCACTCTTAAAGGAGAAGTGAGAGTTTCCCAGGGAAACTGGGGAGATGGGACAAAGAAAATCCCAGATAGAGGAAACAGCATGTGCAAAGGCACAGGTAAGAAACCAGGCTGGCCGTATGAAAGGAACAGGTAGAGGGCTTTGATATTCTTTCTATGGAGTTTTGATTTTTTCCTTTTGAAGAGGGGAGCAACTAAGTAGATTTAAACAGGATCAGATTTTTGTTTCAGAAAGATAACCTGGAGGTTCAGGTCAAGATGGTAGCATAGCTGAAAGTGGTACTCGAATCCTCCCAAAACCACATCGAAACTACAATTAAACTACAAAACAATCATCATTAAGAACTGCCTGAAATTTGGCTGAACAAAAGTCCTATGACTAAGGATATAAAGAAGAAGGCACAAAGAGACTGATGGTAGTGGCAGAGACACTGAACAGGCCAGTCCTACACCTACTTATTGAGGGATCAGACACAGATGTCCCTCCCGAGAAGTGAGGGGTCCCCTGCCCCACACTAGGTTCCCCAGCCTAGGGTTCCAGGGCCAGGAAGAGAAATTCCCAAAACTCCTGGCTGTGAAAACTAGCAGGGATTGTGGCTGAGTGAGATGGAGGGCTACTGGAATCCCAAACATTCCTTTTAAAGAGCCAGCCCACAGACCCACTTGGACTCGCTCTGAGCTCCAACACTGGGGCTGTAGCTCAGAAGGCACCAGGGACTTATAAGGATGGGGGTGGTAGTGGTGGTGAGACTGAGTTGTCTGGCAAGGAACTGAGTGGTCTGGCATTGGGGCAAGAGTTGGAGGGGTAGCTTTCTTCCAGACAGAAGTGCTGGCGGAGGCCATTGTTCATTTTCTGGGCTCTTCCCTCACAGAGCTGGCACAGATGCACCATATCTGAGTCTCCATCAACCTGGCTAACACTGTTGGCCCTTCCCTGCTGATTACCTGAGGCCCTGCCCCACCCAACTTGTGGGCTCATCCCAAGCCATTTCCAGTGGCCTTTCCATACAAACGACCTGTCTTGTCTCATGCTTTGGACTTTCCTAAAAATCTCTTTGACAAGCAGCATGCTGCATACCTCTCGCTAAGTAGCTCTAGGCCCAGCACCAGCAGCAGCCAGCCTTGGGTTGCAGCTTGGCCTCTCCTGGGCACCTCCAAGCTTAGCACAAGTAGCAGCCATCTGCAGATTACTTTGTAGCTCATGCAGGGTGGTTTGAGGCGGGCACAGGTGGCAGCTGACCTTGACCTGCACCTCCCAGGAGGCTACAGAGCAAGCACAACCAGTGCACAGCTTTAGACCAGGTCAAGGCACCACTCAAACTCCTCTACAAGGGACACACTTAAGGAGTGGATTCAGCAGGCACAAGAGCCCCAGTGAAGTAAGTCAGGCTCTGTGGGGACAGCACCCTGCACAGCTGAACCTCCACAGTGGTCACAACCAGTCCTCACAGCTGATCAGCCTGCGAGTAAATCCCTCCTATTGAGGTATCGACAGCGATCAAGGCTCAACTACAGCAGGAGGATGCACACAGCCCACACAAGGGGCATACCTAGAGTACCCAGCCTGGGTGTTTGGGGAGGCTGTGCCACTCGACTCTAGAGGACACCTACTACATAAAGTCACTCTACCATGACCAGGAGATATAACAGCTCTACCTAATACAGAGAAACAAACACAGGGAGGCAGCCAAAATGAGCAGACAAACATGTCTCAAATTAAAGAACAGAAAAAAACTCCATTAAAATAACTAAATAAAATGGAGATAAACAATCTACTAGATTATACTGGTTATAAAGATACTCAGTGAACTTGGGGGAAGAATAGATGAACTTAGTGAAAATGTCAACAAAGAGATAGGAAACCTAAAAACAGAGATAGAAAATATGAAAACCAGTCAGAAATAAAGGGTACACTAACTGAAATGAAGAATAATTTACAGGGAATCAACAGTAGAGTAGGTAAAACAGGATCAAATCAGAGATTTGGAAGATAAGGAAGCAGAAAACATCCAATCAACAAAAAGAAAAAAGAAAAAAGAATCCAAAAAATGAGGATAGCATCAGGAGCCTTTGGGACAACTTTAAACATACCCACATTCACATAATGGGGGTACCAAAAGGAGAGGAGAGAGAGAAAGGAATTGAAAACCCATGTGAAAAAATAATGACAGAAAACTTCCCTAACCTGTTGAAGGAAATGGACATACAAGTCAAGGAAGTGCAGAGAGTCCCAAACGAGATGAACCCAGAGAGGCCCACATCAAGTCACAACATAATTAAAATGCTAAAGATTAGCCCTGGCTGGTGTGGCTCAATGGATTGAGCACCAGCCTGTGAACCAAAGGGTCACTGGTTTGATTCCCAGTCTAGGGCACATGCCTGGGTTGTGGGCTGGTCCCTGGTAGGCAACCACACATTGATGTTTCTTTCCCTCTCTCCCTCCTTTCCCCTCTCTAAACATAAATGAAAATGAAAAACCCTTTTTAAAAAACCTGTCAGCTGATTTCACAACAAATACAGGACTAGAACAAAATATTGAGAGTGTTAAAAAGCAAAGACCTACAACCAAGACTGCTCTACCCAGCAAATTTATCATTTAGGATTGAAGGACAGATAAAGGGCTTCCCAGACAAGAAAAATCTAAAGGAGTTTACCACCACCAGGCCAGTATTACAAGAAATGTTAAAGGCGCCCTGGCTGGTAAGGCTCAGTGGATTGAATGCCAGTCTGGGAACCAAAGGGTCACTGGTTTGATTCCCAGTCAGGGCACGAGTCATGGCACATGCCTGGGCTGTGGGCCATGTCCCCAGTAGGGAGCACATGAGAGGCAATCACACACTGATGTTTCTCTCCCTCTCTTTCTCCCTCCCTTCCCCTCTGTCTAAAAATGAATGAATGAATGAATGAATGAATGAATAAATAAATCTTTTTAAAAAACGTTAAAGGCTCTTCTTGAAGAAGAAAAAGAACAAAGATCAAAAATATGAATAATAAAAAGGCAATAAACATATCTATCAGCAATTACTTTCAATGCAAATAGATTAAATCCTGCATCAAAAGACGTATGGAGGCTGAACGGATAACAAAACAAGACCCTTACATATGCTGTATACAAGAGCCTCATTTCAGGTATAAAGACACACACAGACTGAAAGTAAAGGGATGGAAAAAACATTTCATGAAAATGAAAACAAACAAAAGCTGGGGAAGCAATATTTACACCCAACAAAATAGACTTTAAAACAAAGGCTATGTAGCAAGAGACAAAGACCCAGCAATTCTTCTTCTGGGTATTTATCTGAAAAAACCCAAAACACTAAATCAGAAAGGCAGACACATCCATACGTTCATTGCAGCATTACTGACAGTAGTCAAGACATGGAAGCAACCTAAGTGTTCATCAATAGAAGAATGGATAAAGAAGCAGTGCATATATACAAGGGAATATGATAGAAAAGAATGAAATCTTGCCACCTGCAACAACATGGATGGACCTAGAGAGTAATATGCGAAGTGAAATTTGTTAGTCATAGGAAGACAAATGATATATGATTTCACTTATATTTGGAATCTAAAAAACAAAATAAATGGACAAACAGAACAGAAACAGACTCATAGGTATGGAGAACATTTTGCCAGTTGCCAGATGGGAGGGAGGATGGGGGATGGGTGAAAAAGGTGAAGGGATTAAGAAATATAAATTGGTAGTTACAGAATAGTCACAGAAATATAAAATACAACATAGAGAATATAGTCAGTAATACTGTAATAACTGTATGTAGATCAGATGGGTACTAGATTTATCGGGGTGATCATTTAGTAAGTTATATAAAGTCTAACCACTGGGTTGTATACCTCAAAATTAACATGATATTGTATGTCAACTGTAATTGAAAAATTAAATTTCAAGTTAAGGCTCTGGCCAGGTGGCTTGGTTGGTTGGAGCATCATCCCATATTCCAAAAGCTTGTGGGTTCAATCCTTGTTTGGGGCGCATATGGGAGGCAACTGACTGATACTTCTCTCACATCAGTGTTTCTCTCCCAGCCCTTCTCTCTCTCTAAAATCAATAAACATATCCTAGGGTGAGGATTAAAAAAATAAAGTTTTAAAAAAATAAAATTACGTAATCTAAAAAAATAAGGAAGATAATCTGATAGGTATGTAGACAATCATCTGGAAGCCATTAAGCATGAAGGCCGGAATATCGAAGACTACTGAAATAGTTCATGTGAGAGACAATGCTCAGGGTCTCAATTACAGCAGGACATTGGGAACGAGAACAGAGTATGGCTTTGAAAAATACTTAAGCAGAAGATTTATACAAGACTTAGTAACAGAATTCAGGAATGGGGGAAAAATCTAGGATGATTGCCAGATTTTCAGGGTTGGGTGATTTGGGGAATGGCACCCGAGTAGAGAGTATCGGGAAGACCAGATAGTGGAGTATGGGGAATGGGGCTGGCTAGGGAAGGGGAAGCCCATGAGTTCAGTTGCGAGGCAAGTACAACAGCCGAGAACAGATACGTAGGAATCTTGAATATAAGGATTTGAAACTCAAGAGAAAAATCCAGACTGGTGTTACAGACCTGGGAGTCATAATATATAAGTGGTATTTAAAGCCAGGGTAATGAGTAAAATGGTCTAAACCCTAGACACCTGATTCAAGGATAAGATGGTCAGACTCAGAAACCTGGGGAATTCAGAGGATGGAGAGAGGAAGTTGAACTCAAAAAGGGGACTGGGTGTATATATCCCAGAGGCAGGAGAAAAGTCAGGAAAGAAGGGTGTCATGGAAACCAAAGGGGAGTTTCAAAAAGGAGAGCATGACCAAGAGTGTCAGTGTTATACAGAAATTAGGTTAGATGAAGACTAAGTGATGAAAAGTATCTTTGATTTGGGCTTGGTGGTCTTTACAAAAGCAGTTTCCTAGAGAAGGATGTTGTGGGATTCAAGATAAATGGGAAGTGAAGAAGTGGCGGTAGCAGGTGAGGATGACTAACGTCTGCACATTTAATGTGTAGTTTTGGTTACTCAGGACTGACCCCAAAATTGCTTAATATTAGCAATATATGATTTACCTATGGCAGGGACTGTAATCATTCATTGCAAAACTATCATGTAGGAAGAAGCTAATTGGCTGAAAGGTGAGCCTGGCCACTGCTCAGCATCCCTAAGTGAATACTGCTGGTTCTCTTCTCAGCAAGTATTTGACAATTCCCAATAAGGGTCTGAAGATGTTGCTTTAAAAACCGTACAGTATAACTGGTGGTTTGAGGAATTCTAAAGTACAATGATTTTGCAAACTTGAGATATTTTAATATGTATCACCTGAAGCTGCCCAAGGTCTACTGAATACTTTTCCCAGGGGGCTAGGCTGTGAAGAAAAGAGATGTGTTTTCTAGAAGGGGAATGCCAGGTTGACAATGTATATTTTGCTATTATTGTGGAGTTTTTTTTTTTTTGCTTTGTTTTAAGATAGAAAAGCCTAAGGAGAAGGAGTGAGTAAACGGGTTAAAAATAGAATGAAGGGATACAGCAAAATTCCTTATCAAAAAAGACGGTATGGACACAAGAACCTCCCAAGTGCACAAGGATGACGACTGAATTGCTTAGAGATCCAGAGCTGCTCTTACCCATGGAGATCTTCTCAACCTTATCCAGGGCCACTGAAGGTGAATCAAAGAGGCCAATCAGAATTTGGTTGGCCTCTTTGATTCCCACTGGAATGGGAATCATGAAACCCATGCACTAGTCTCAACTCTTTCATTGACTAGCTGTGTGACCTTGAGTGAGCCATTTTCTCCCTCTGAAACTGAGTAGTCTCACATTGAAATGAAGTTGTAGGACTAAGTAGAACTATGTCTACTGTGCCTCATAACTCCAATAATGTAGAGTACTGGTTTAGGGCAGTAGATGACTAGAAAGAATGGCTCCTGTAAGTTGAGAGAGAGGAAATATCACCCAATATTCTATTTTTCATTTCAGCGAAAATTTTTATTACCAATAGCCTGGCTTTATCACAGCTTGCTGCTTTAAGATTGAGGAAGTAATTTTCTAGGCCCATTCTATTAAGAGAAGAAATCAAGGCAGCCATATTCAAGTGTTTCTTTGGGAAGAACACCCACCTTGATGACACTGTCCTTGCAGTCCACCACTCGTTCAAATGTTTGGCTGAGGATCTCAATGTCCTTATGAAGCTCTCTGGTCTTAACTTCTCGAAGAACAGTTCTCCACTGTGTGTTAATCTTATTAAGGTTCAGAGCACTGTTGTGCTCCTCTTTGGCCAACTTGTCCTGTGTGAAGGAATAAATACACGTGCAGAAGGTCAGAGCCAAAAGCCCTGACACAGTCCAACAAACAAGGCCACACTTAGTTTGCCGACTGACACGTTTACCCTTTGTCTTTTCTGAGGGACCAAAGCTCCTGATGGCTAACACTCAGGTAGTTCCTGCTCTTGTTTCAAGAGGGTCTCAAGCAAGACAGGAGCAGCCTGAGAGCATTTTAAGGAGGGTAAGGATGAATTTCCTTTAGGACGCTGTTTGCAATGGCCCATCTGCAGGGAGATTATCAGAATTTCAAACGCTTGGACAGCTGATAGAACCTGCTGTCCCAGTTTTGGGGCTCAATTGTTACTGCCAAGCTTTATGCCACCGCCCCTCCTCCATGCTGCACGGAGAACTGCCCCTCCTCCCAAAAACTGTTGTCTGAAATCTAAGTATATTTAGGTCTCAAGGTTTCAGGAAGCAAGCATGAAATGAGACTGCCACAACGACAGTGCTAAGGCAACAGGGTCAGTGCAGGGAGTAGGTGGGTCTGGGCAGGGAGTAATGCAGAAACCCATCACCTTCAGGAACTGGCTCAGGAGCTTCTCCTTCTTCTTGGCCATCTCCTCCTCTTCGAGCAACTTCTGCTGAGACAGAAGCAACTGCTCCTCATCGGACAGGGGCGTCTTGGCTTTTTTCCCTTTCTTAGGCATAGCTGGCCAGAGAACTGAATCTGGACAAGGACCCTGGACCCGCAACGGCCGACACTACTGGGCCTGGAAAAAAAGGGCTCACAGAAAGAGGCCTTCTGAAACTGTCCCCGGACGGTAATGGGACCTTCGATCTCAGTCCTGGGGCAAGACAACCTGGGATAGCGGGGAGGCAAGACCGAAAGAGGCGTCTCTGTCTCCTAGCAACGGGATCTTGCTAAGAAGGCACTGTGAAGTTTGAAAAAGAGGCCCTGGCTTAGCGCGCCCTCTGCCGCCTGGAGGACCGTAGTGAGTTCTGTTTGTTTTTTTTTGAAAGGGTTGTTTTATCTATCAAAATCTCTAGCCTCCTCTAACTGAACTTTTAAGACCTTTTTTGTTTTTCATAGAATTACCATATTTTAAAATACAGATAATAAATTTTTGAGAGAACATGGAGAAACGGGAACCCTCATGCATTGCTGGTGGTAATGTAAAACGGTGCAGCCACTTTGGAAGACAGTTTGGCAGTTTCTTTTTCCCTCCCTACATCGCTCCCTCCTTTCCTCCCTTCCTTTCTCTCTCTTTATTTCTTTCTCTTTCTTTCTTTTTTCCTTGCTTCTTTCTTTCCTTTATTCCTACCTTCCTTTCTTTTCCTTTCTTTATTCCTTCCTTCTCACTTTCCTTTTCCTTCTTTTCCTCCTTTTTCTGCCTTTCTTCCTCTTCCTTCCTATCTTTTTTCCTTTCTTCCTCCCTCCCTCCCTTCCTTCCTTCCTTTTTCCTTCCTCCTGTCCATCCATTTAATTGGCTTTATTAAACAATTCATAAATCAGACAGCATCCCATCTAGTAACCAAAGTTGCTCTAACAGTTTCTTAAAATTTTAAACATAAATTTATCATGCATTATAACCATTTTACTCTTAGATATCAATCTAAAATATCTAACTACAGATGCATGGTACAATATGAGTAAGTCTCAAAAAAACATGTTCAGTGAAAGAAACCAAACACAAGAAACCACATATTGGAAGTGTCCTTTATATGAAATATCCAGAAAGGGCAGAAGCATTACATCAAAGAAGACAAATGTGTATCCAGAGTAAATGTCTAGTTCAGTAAGAACAAAATACTGCCCTTCCATGATGGAAGTGGTCCAATGTCACCAACCTGTTCACCCAGGGCAATGGTACCTTGTAGGGGGGCCCAATGTTGGTCTTTGCTGTTGGCAGACTGGGCACTCAGTGATTCCCACAGCCAGGTTGGCCTTGGTGAGTGACAGTTCATGCAGCTGAGTCCATGCATAACCTCCACCCCTGCCACAACGGCTGCTTTGTTTATGAGTCCATTGGACAATGACAGAGGTGGCTGGGAAAAAAGACTGACTGATATTCAGAGAGTGGGTCATCCCAGCCACTCGATTATTAAAATTCTCTGCTGAGGTCACCCTTTGTGTGCATTCCCATGGGACACAAATATCAGTATAGTTTTTTGTCCATTCAGAGAGGTCTGTCCACATACCTCTTCTCCAAATTTCCTTGTAACCAATTTTTTAAGCATGTTCCTTCCAAGTCCATGACCATTCAGTAAAATCATTAGCCACAGCCATGAGTTGATATATAGTCACACATCTGGCCATTTGTCCTTCTAAGCAAAGTGAACATTAGGTGCACAGCTGTAAGTTCTGCCCATAAACTGGGACAGATAACACCCAATTTATGATGGAGAGCTCAGGTCACATAGAAATTGTGATCTGAGCTCTTCATGGTGGCCCATGGTTAAGCATTCAGTCTCTACTAAGACCCAGGAGTAGGCCAAGAGCTGTTTCTCAGAAAAGGAGTATCACAGTTATCTGCAGAGGGGAGGAGGACTTGGCTCCAACATTCTAAGGGCCTGGACTGTGATTCACCAATAGGGCCCTGCCAGAGGCTCCAAAGAGCACCTGTCTGTCACTGCCACTTCAAGCACCATTGAATCTGCTGGATCGTGTGGCCTAGACAGCAGAACACCTCGCACAGCAGCCTGACCTGTTGCAGAGCCTTCTCTTGTTCTGGGCCTCACCCCTAACTAGCAGCTTTTTAGGCCCCTTGGTGAATCGGCCAGAGTAGCACACCTAAATGAGGAATATATTGTCTCCAAAATTCAAAGAGGCCCAGTAAGATGTTATGTCTCTTTTTTGCTTGTAGGAGGGGCCATATGCAACAACTTATCTTTCACTTTAGAAGGAATATCTTAACATGCCCCATGCCACTGGTTCCATAAAATTCCATTGAGCTGGAAAGCTCCTCCACTACGGCTAGATCAGGTTCAATAGGGGGCATTCGTCCTGCAATGGCCAGAGGGTCCCTGCTGGAATCCAGCGCACGGCAAAGGGCCTACATGCACCCCTCTGGTGCAACAATAGAAGGACCCGCTTTCCCCTTGCCCCATGGAATCTGAAATAGTTGAGGGCATGCCTGAGGGCCACTGAGTATACACTTAAGTAGAACAAACAAGTACACATTGATTGTGAACCAGGGAAAGGCTTTCCCACACAACATGATAAGCCCAGTACAGGCTATGTGGGCTCTTTATCTCTTGGTAAGAAAGTGTTTAGGTCCAAGGTCCATTCTTATGTGATCAAACAGGGGTGGAAAGACTGTGGGCATGAGATGACCTTTTCCAACGCAAATTTTCCATTAGGTGATCAAGATCCTTGTGAACTAAATGATGACATAGGGCTACATAGCTGGTATACGCCTGAGGTAGGCTAGTGGAAGTTGCTGGCCTTGCCAGCTGAATGCAAACTGCTTGTGGTGGTCCTTACTGACAGGGAGGGGAAAAATAGCATTTTTCAGATCAATAGCTGCATACCAAGTGGTAAAGTATTTGTTAATTTGCTCAAGTAATGGAACCACATCTGACAAAGCAGTTGCAGTTGGAGTCACCTCCTGATTAAGCTCATAATAATCCACTGCCATTCTCCAAGATCCATCTCTCTTCTGCACAGGCCAAACAGGTGAGTTAAACAGGTGTCAGCAGAAAGGGACCTGGGCTGGAGCGAGTGTGCCTCGGGCTGGCCTGTAGTGTGTGCGTTCTTGACTTCACGTAGGAAAGATTTCACAAGACGAGTCCAGGTGATTTTGAGAGGACATTTATTAAAGCTGGGGACAGTGACACAAAGGAAGGACTTTAGGTAGAAGAAGCAACAGGGGAGAGCCTAGTCGGGGCTGCTTTGGCCCCCTAGAAACATTATAGGAAAGGAGTGAGCCCAGGCGGGGCTGCTGTCGGCTCACTGCAAATCCAGAGAAAAGTGGGGCTTCAAGACAGGTTCAGGGGGTCAGCCTTTCTGCATCGATTGCTCTGCATAGCCCCTTTTGTCACAAATCAAGTGTCCGTATATGAGGACAAAAAAGCATTTCATTTTTTTCTTGCACGTTAGTTTGACTTATATTGTGAATTACATTGATTTTCAAATATTAAAATAACTTTTCATTTTTTACTAACGTGCACATAATCCTGATATCCTTTTTATGTACAGCTAGACACTGTTTGTTTATAGTATAAGTGAATATAGAACTTTGCATCTGTGATCATGAGTGTAATTTTCCTTTCTTATAATGTCTTTATTAGGTTTGGTATAAAGATTATGCTTGCCTAATAAAGTGAGTTGGGAAGAATATAGCCTTTCTTTCTATTATTTGGAAGAATGTACGTCCAATTGGCATTATTTCTTTCTTAAATGTTTGGTAGAATTCAATGGTGCCACACCTGGGCCTGGTATTTGATTTGTGGGAATTTAAAAAACAAAGGCTTTATTGAGATTTTATTCACATACCATACAATTCATCCACTTAAAATGTATGACTCAATGGTTTTTTGGTACAGTGCATTCGCAGAGTTCTGCAGCCATTACCACAATCGATTTTAGAACATTTTCGCCACCCCCAAAAGAAACCCCAAACCAGAAGCAGTCACACCCCACTTGCAGGACTGTTTTAATTATAGATTCATTTAGGAGTTTTCTGCTTCCTTCATGGTCAACCCCAATGCCCACACTCCAGGATTAGTTCTTCCTTGAGACTCCAGCTCCAGGATCAATGTCAGCAAACAATGAGGCGCTGACGGCTCGTGGTGTGGTGCTGGGCACAGGCGCACACAGAAAGAAGAGCGGCTCCAGTGAAGAACCCAGGCTCTACAGAACCCTGAGTTTTGGCATGAGGTCAGAGCTGAGCCTTTGAACAAACTTAAATTCTGAATCTGCATGTTTGTCTGTCAAGTAGAGAGAATAATTCTTTCTCTCTTTTTCAGGATTGGGGTGGGACAGATAAGAGAATGTGTGTGAGAACTTTGAAAATTGTAAAGTATTACTAAGGCATTGTTATTGAAGGGCTGGTGATTTAGTTTAAGGAGACATAAATAATAAATATAGATATACAAGCAAGTACAACAATCACTACATTTTTGAGCACTCCCCATGTGCTAAGCGCCATACTAAGTGCTCTATGTACATTACCTCATTCGATTCTTATAATAACAATGTGAAGGAAGTGCTGCTATTATTTTAATTTACAGATGGGAAGTGATGCATCTAGGAGTTAGGTAACTCAAAGTTATACAGCTACCGAGGGACAGCTGGTGGGGAGGGGTTGTTAGTTTGGACTGACCCAGGGTCCCATGGAGGGACCGCATTTTTGGCCAAGGAAGCCCGTCTTCACAGGGTAGAATTTATTCCAATAACGCTTCCTCCAGCCTGATGTATCTGTGCCCCCACCCTTTCCCCACAATTTCTGTGAAGGTTTTTTCTTTGCCCCTCCTATGCACCGAACTCTGAAATTCCGATTCTTCTTATAGCTTCACAAATCAGCTCTGGGATGGTTGCAGAGGCTCCTGTTTCCATGGTGATGTGGGAAGGCTCGTACACCACACGCCAAGTGTAGGCGATGCAAAGAATTGGCTCAGGATCCAAAGGTGTCGGCAGTAGCCAGGCTCCGGGAAAAGAGATCGATGAGAAAGCCAAATCTGAGTGACTGGACCTCCCTCAAGCTCCAGAAGAACCTCCACCTCCACCACGCCCCCTGCCCTCCCCAAACTCCTAATTTGGGAGAAGATAGGAACGCTGGGAGGGGAAACGCCGAGGCCTCCGAAGCAGAAGCTACTGCCCCTGGCTTGTTTAAAGACAAAGCCTTATCTTGATCGCACA